TGTAGGTTGGTGGAGATTGGCCAACGGCCAGGACGGGGTGAATGAATGAATGAATGAACGAACGAACGAACGAACGAACGAGGGTTTATTGATAAACGAAAAATGCATTTTCAAATGATTGGAGGAATAAGGGGAAATGTCAGGAGAACGAATGAACGAAATAACGAATTGCTCCTTATGAGCCGTATCCTTTTAATGAATGTGTTACTATCGCTTTCCATTGTTAATGTTTCTTGAATTATTGATACTCCATGTTTAATGTATTGGATTGATTATCTGATTATGTGTTCGGAACCTCACTGGGCTTTTAGCTCATTCCTTTAGTTTTATTTTCCTTACAGGGGAAGGCGAGCGAGGACGTGAGCTTGAGATAGACTAGCCAATCTAGTTTTGTTTCTTTTGTAGTGGTTCTCGCCTAGTGCTTGGCACGGGCTGGACGTATGAAGGATTGAGAACCCTTGTATATTTGATGTTTATATTCTCTTTTGGGTTGGCAATGTATATAAGTTCCGCTTTAAGTTTGGATCAATGCCCTATTTATTCTTGTGATTTATTTCAATTTTTAATTGAGGACTGTAGCGAACGACTGAGTCCCGGCGAGAGTTGGGCAGGCGGCCCGCCGAACCCTCTGGTACGCCTTAGGGGGAGGTGGGGTCGTCACAGGTTTCCCTCCGTAGCTGCCAAATACCCCTTAACCACTCAAGAGGGAAGTTTCGTTATCCTCTTCGCTTTAATTATTTTATTTCCTCCATTGAGGACAATGTAGGATCTAGGTGTAGGGGGGACAGCTATGCCAGTTTTTAGTTTTCAGATGTTCTTCTTTTATTTTTAGTTTGTCATTTGTCTAGTCTTCGTTTACTTTTTTTAATGAATACTAAAGTTTGATGTTGGATTGTTGACTCTAATTGTGCTATTGCCAAGTTTTAATAATAAAAGTGTATCAAGTTAATGTGGTTGAGTCCAAGAATATCTCTTTGGTGAATATCGGCGATTGTTTTACGCTTTTAATTTTTGGTTAACTTTCCTAGGCATAGGGAATGATTGTTGGCATTTTCATGTGAATTGGTCCGGTTATTAACCTTAGTTCTCCATATTTGAAAATGAGCCAAGTTGATGCAAATTTTCTTTTGATTTTTGTGCTATATTGAGTTTTTGTGTTATTTAGCTGAGAATAAGAGTTGACTGTACTCCGCTAGTTTTTACTACTGAGTAACCGGGAATTTTCACCAAAAGTGTCGATTCTCGCGTCAAAAAGTAGTAATTTCTATGAGTACGTGGTCGTATAGCAATAGGAGTTGAGTAACTGGGCTCCTTCATCTGGCAAATGTTGGAGTTCGTGTCAAAAGGCTCCCATGGCTATAAGACTAAGTCTTGTGTTACTATTGAAAAAAAAAAAGAAAAAAAGAAAAAAAGAAAAATATGGAAAAAAGGTGATGGTTGTGTTAATGTGTGATAAAAGTCAGCTTGCCGATTTATGGATTTAATGTTGAGATTTTGGTTAATAGTTGGACCATTCGCTGATAAATGTTGAGCGACCACTCATTTTTCTTAGATTAGTTAACCTGAAATTGGAAGAGTTTATGGTTTAGAAGTTAACCGGAGTGATGTTTCTTGGACTTGACCATTGATACTTCATTATTATTTTTCTTGGTATCTTGGCAATTTGGTGGATAGAGCAGTAGCCACTATCGAATATTGGTGTTTGTTTGTTGTTCTCATGCTTGAGGGCAAGTATGGTTTAGGTGTGGGAAGAATTGATACATTGTAATTTTATCATTTATTTTATAATTAATTTCCCCTATTACCTGACCCGATGTAAATTAATTGCTAGATTCTACTCACTTTTGATATTTTGCATTTATTTGAAGGAGTAGAATGAAAATATGATAACAAGTGCCAACTTAACAAGAAAAGAGCCCAAATAACATAGCTTATCCCAGAGACATTATTGGCAAAGGAAGACTTTTGCCCATTTTGGTAATTTCAAAAGAAGAGAGCAGGAAATAGGGCTTCCTTTTCCTGGTGTGGGCCGCCGCAGAGAAGGAACGCTACCTTTGAGTGGCGTTTGTGGACTTTTCAGTCATTAGCTTTTTGAGTAGCTTGAGGTCACGTAGGGACGGAGGGAAACAAATGAGTTATCCTCTGTAGTATCTTTTTCCGCTATTCATTGGGTCAAACTAAAGCCTCGCAGGCGAGGACAATGGCCGCGGTTGTTGTTTCAATTTTGCGTAGGTTTCTCGCATCAGATATGAACTAATTTCTTCATTCTAGTCAAGGAACAACGGAAGTTTTGATTCGCCTAAAAATTGTGAGATCGATTTAATTTTATTTTTTCCTTTTATTTATTGGTATTCGCATATTCTTTGATTTCAGTACTTATGGTTATTTAATTAATTGATTGTCTTGGATCCGGATAATTAGTTAATTTGATAATCTATTGTCAATTGGGACGTTAAATCCGTAATTGTTTAATTGTCTCAAAATAGTGATAACTGGCATGATTGGGTTTGTGTCAGGGGAATACGCGGGCTAACCTAAAATAACTCTGGTAGTGTGTTATTTGGTTAGAATAGGGTTCCTCTAATATGTAAGGCAATTGGGGAATTAAATCTTACGGGCGTACCTAAGATTATTTCTCAAATAGAGCATTGATTAACGGGCGTACCTTAATCATCGACACAGTAAGGAGGGGTTGACTGTCATCGCTTGTTTGGCAGTTATAACCTATTTATTAGTAAGTAATTGGAATTGGCTTTGCATCAATGATCAATTAGGTGAACCATTGCTAAAGTTATTCCTTGGCTAGATCCTTAATTATCACTCATTAGATTTTAGTAAATTGTTATTTAATTTCTAGTTGGCTATTTTATTTTTATTATTTTACTTTTAGTTGAATTGTTTAAATTGTTACTCCTGATATAAAAACACCCCCCTTGTCACTGTGAATTTGGAAAGGAACAAGTACTCCCAATCCCTGTGGATTCGACCCTGCTTACCACTATCTACAGAATTTTACTTTTAGTTTGAGCAGATTTTTATTATTGCACAGGCTGACAACCTGTCACCAATCCACCATGGCCACGCGTCAGTTTGGACTCGGTGATCTATCAGTTCAGTTGGATCAGTTCGGAATGAATGGTAGTCAGCTCACGTGCTGCCGCCGCCTCTTCGATAGATGGGCCTGGTAGGCCGCAGCTCCTGAACTTCTCGAAACCAGCAGACAGAGCCCTAAGAGGACTCCTTCTCTACTAGGACTATTAATCCTATACGAAAACTACCACCAAGAACTTTATAAATACAACACAATGGAACAAGACAAGGTACGCTTTTTCTACATCAATCAATACTGTCGCTCTATTCACGGCTAACACTGACTTCACCGTCGGAGCTACACCGGGGAGCAAGCCCCGCCGTTAGTCTCTCTTGTAGGTCAGTTCACTCACCCTGTTAGTACCAGTTCGCTCCATCTCAGTTCTCTCAGTTTAGTGCTGCTCAATTCGGATCGCTCTCTCGGCCGTCGCATCAGAGGGCATTCTCGTAGGATCTCTCTACATCACCATTCATGGGAAGAATACAACCATCGATTCCCACAGACGATGTCAATTGTAAAATAGAAAAAATTCACTTGTTGAACTGATCTAAGTGGTTCAGCCAAGTGAGCCGAGCTGTTGAGAAGAATATGCCTTTCGAGCTGACCTAGGTGCTTGATCATACTGACCTAGGTGGTGTATCTGACAAGCCAGCCTTGTGATCACCGAGATCCCACGAGGTAGAATACTACCACCACCTAACCTGTTGTGATGAGATGAACTGTGTTTGTTCAAACGAACATTGGGGAGGTTGGATGAATTGGCCTCCTGTCAATTCTTGAATATGACCCGTGCAGAGGCCCTGTCCCCGGCCTGGACACGTGGCAGCCCAGGTATGGCCGATCTGGGCCTCGGCCCCAGGCCCCTGGCAGCCGTCCTGAGCCGCGCTGATGCTAGGGCTCCTGAAGGGGCAAGGCACCATCCCGCAGAGGTCGGAGGGAATCCCCCTCATCGCGGGATAAGGGCTATGCCGGGCAAGTCCAGAAACGTACGGAGGTCGGACTCCCTTAGCAGGTATGAAAGGTAACGCACACCAAGGGAAAAAAGATACGCTCACTATTGACCGAGGACTCTCAACTGCTTACTCCCGTGAACTAGACTCACCGGAAAACTAACTTGATCGTCGGAGCGCCCTCGGGGACAACCCTCGGGCCCCCATTTGCTTGTTCATTCTTGTTTGTTTTGCCGGCTTGGAACCAGCTCTTCCATCAGCGCGCCGAGCTAATCAGGTCAGCTCGGTCCGGGGAAGTTCAGCGCTTCTTCAGTTGGCGCCGTCTGTGGGAAACGTAAGGTAATCTAAGTTGTGTTGATGGCAAGAACGCGATCCAAGCGAACGGTAGAGAGCACCAGTCCTGGAGGCGGTGAGGGATCCCAGCGAATGGAGGCGGCCCGGGGCGCCGGGGGCTCAGCCCTTTCAGGAGAGAGGCGGCAGCAGATTTTCCAGTTCGTGACGGAGAACCTCCCTATGCTGGAAGACATCATCCGGCAGGCGAAGGAGGGGGGCAAAGCCGGTGGCGCACAGACCTCCAAGGCAAAGGGGAAGGAGAAAGAACCACTCCTCGACCCCTCGGAGGATGAGTCACGCGATCAGCCCCCCAGAAGGAAACGGCCACGGACTCCCCCTCGGTGGTCGGGGATAGCGGGAGGTACTCCCGCGACCGGTCTGCGGGGAGCCGTCCAAGAGACCCCTCCCCAAGGAAGCCCACGCGGAATGGGTTCGAGCGTTACCCTGCCAGGTCTGTCAAGAGCCGGCCGCGCGATCTCCCCTGGAAGCCTGCCCAGGATGCCCAGGACGAGCTCGAACAGATCTTGCGGCCGCAGTTGTACGAGGACAACTACTCCACCTCGCCATTTCCCCGGGAGATAGAGGATTACCCCCTACCCCGGAGGTTCAAGATCCCGAGCATCGAGATGTACGATGCTTCAACCGACCCGGAAGACCACCTTTCGGTCTTCCTGACGCACATGCGCCTGCAAACAGCCGCGGATGAGATCCGCTGCAAGACCTTCCCCATGTTCTTAAAGGGGAAGGCTCGACTCTGGTTTCAGGGCCCGGCCCCCGGGTCTATCCGGAACTTCCCTGAACTGGCCAGGCAGTTCGTAGCCCAATTCGTTTCCTCGAAGACTTACTCGAAGAATGCCACCCACCTAATGGCTATCAGGCAGAGCCATGACAAGTCCCTAAGAAATTTCATGACCCGCTTCAATGCGGAGAGTCTGCAGGTCAAAGACAAAAACGAAAAGGTGGTCATGGCCGCCTTCGTGAATGGGCTCAGGGTGGAGGAGCTCTTCTACAAGCTGGCCGAGAAGTCGCCGAAGAATCTGGAGGAGCTCCTGACCAGGGCGCACGCGGTTGCTAATGCGGAGGAGGCAGGCCGTCTGAAGAAAGAGTCAGATCGGGAGTTCGGAGATCGGAAGGGACGGACAAACCCCCCAGAGGGCAAGGATGTTCCGGCTAAGAAAAACGTCTTTGACCGGCTCTCGAGGGAGAAAGCCCCTGCTCCGCCGCCTCTCCCAGAGAAAGGCTACACCCCCCTAACGCGGCCTAAAGCCCAGATCTTGGCCGTTATGGAGGCGGAAGGGCTGGCAGGTCGGCCGCCCAAGATGGGAACACCTCGGAACAAAAGGAACCAGGACCGGTACTGCGCCTTTCACCGCGACGTGGGACATGACACGGAGGGATGCTGGGCCCTGCGGAAGGAAATCGAAGATCTGATCCAACGCGGTTTCCTAGGACGGTTCGTGCGGCAAGGTCGTTCCGGCCAGGAGCCCGGACGCACCTACCGAGGAGATCGGGGTGAAGGCCAGCGGCGCGACCGCCCTAAGCGGCGGTACGAGCGTCGGGGTCCTTCCCCCGACCAGGATTCCCAGAACCTGGCCGGGGTGATAAACACCATCGCCGGAGGCCCCACCGGGGGGGATAGTCACACAGCTCGGAAAAACAGGCGACCTCCCCCCGAAGAGGATGACTCCCTGAAGCGGCTGCGCATGGACGAGGAGATCACTTTCGGCCCAAGGGATGCGGTTCCCCTAGCGTCCGAGTACCATGAAACCATCGTGATAGACATCGTTACCAACAACTACCGGGTGAAAAAGGTGTATGTCGACCAGGAGAGTGCGGTTGACATTATGTTCTATCGGGTGTTCAGGGAGCTCGGCTTGGAGGACGGGCAGCTAACCCTAATTCGAACACCACTGATGGACTTCACCGGGCCCCCTATCAACCCGGAGGGGATGATCACCCTGATGGTCACGGTAGGGTAGGCCCCCAATTGCCGGACCATCCCTGTCAACTTCGTCGTGGTTAAGCAACATTCCCCGTATAACGTGTTCCTGGGTCGGCCTGCCTTGAACGCTCTACGAGCTATCCCCTCCACGCTCCACCTCAGCGTCAAATTCCCCACCCCGGGAGGAATAGCCGAGGTACACAGTGATCCAGAGGTGGCCCGAGCTTGCTACCTAGCCATGCTTCAAGGACGGGAGAAGGTGGTCGCCCAGACGACCTGCCTGGAACCCTACATCCCAGGGGAGGAAGCTCGGCAGTTGGGCACCCAGGACGAGATAGAGGAGTTCCCCTTGAGGGAGGACCGGCCCGACTAGGTAATCCGCATTGGCAAGCTACTGCCCCCTGAGGAGAAGAAGGACTTGAATGCCCTGTTGAGGGAATACTCCCAGGTCTTCACCTGGTCAGTCGAAAACATGCCTGGGATCCCGACCGACCTTGCAGTCCATCACCTCAACGTGGATCCCCGCTTCAAACCGGTGAAGCAGAAGAAGAGGAGCTTCGCCCCAGAAAGGAATACGGTGATTAGGAAGAAGGTCGGGAAACTGCTGGAGTCCCAAATCATCCTAGAGATCTACTACCCGACCTGGTTAGCCAACCCGGTGCTGGTAAAGAAGGAGGACCAGACCTGGAGGATGTGCATGGATTTCACGGATCTCAACAAAGCTTGCCCAAAGGACTGCTTTCCTCTACCGAGAATCGACATGTTAGTAGATTCTACTGTGGGATTTGATGTTTTGTGCTTTCTGGATGCCTTTAAGGGGTACCACCAGATAGAGATGGCTGAGGAGGACCGGGAGAAGACCTCATTCATCACAGAAGAATGAACCTACTGCTACCGGACTATGCCGTTCGGCCTGAAGAACGCGGGAGCCACCTACCAACGCTTGGTCAACAAACTGTTCCAGAATCAGATCGGCCGAAGCATGGAGGTCTACGTGGATGACATGATCGTTAAGAGTCGAACTGATCAGCAGCTCGTCCCCGACCTGAGGGAAATCCTGGGTATCCTGCGGGAGAGCTGGATGCGGCTGAATCTGAAGAAGTGCACTTTCGGGGTCAGATCGGGAAGGTTCCTGGGATTCCTGGTGTCTCGGGATGGGATCCGGGCCAACCCGGCTAAGCTCCAAGCTATCATGGATATGGCCCCCCCAAGGAGCGTGAATGAGGTCCAGCGGCTCACAGGAAGGATGGCTGCCCTGAACAGGTTCCTCTCGCGCTCCGCGGTCCGGGGGCAGCCATTCTTTCGCATCCTAAAAGCGCCTAAAGACTTCCAATAGACGGAGGAGTGCCAGAAATACGGACTTTAATTTGAGTCCTGAGGGTATTTTGAAATATCGAAATCGAATGGTGGTACCAAAGGATGAATTGTTGAAAGCGGAAATTCTGGAGGAAGCTCATCGGTCCAAGTATACAATCCATCCGGGTAGCAGTAAGATGTATCAAGACCTGAAAGGGACCTATTGGTGGGATAATATGAAGAGGGAAATAGCTCAATACGTGCAGAAATGTCTTATTTGCCAGCAAGTGAAGGCAGAGCATCAAAAACCATCGGGTCTGTTACAACCCTTGGAGATACCCGAGTGGAAGTGGGAAAACATCACAATGGACTTCGTTTCCGGTTTACCGAGGACACGATGCCGTTTGGGTGATCGTTGATCGATTAACCAAATCGGCCCATTTCTTGCCGGTGAACATGAAGTACTCAATGGACAAATTGACCCGATTGTACATGGATGAAATTGTAAGGCTACACGGCGTGCCAGTAAGCATCGTCTCCGATCGGGATCCACGGTTCGTATCACGATTTTGGCAGAAATTTCAAGAAACCCTGGGGACGAAACTCAATTTGAGCACTACCTATCACCCTCAGACGGATGGCCAATCGGAACGGACGATTCAGACTCTTGAGGACATGCTACGAACATGTATTCTAGACTTCGGAGGCAATTGGGGTCAGCACATGACCTTAGTCGAATTTGCATATAACAATAGTTTCCATTCGTCGATTCAAATGGCTCCGTACGAAGCTCTCTACGGACGCAAGTGCCGCTCACCGATTTACTGGGACGAAGTAGGTGAAAAGAAAGCACTGGACCCGGCAACCATTCCCTGGATGGAAGAGGCTCACGAGAAGGTTAAGTTGATACGGCAACGAATCCAAACTGCCCAAAGTCGCCAAAAGAGCTACGCGGATAACCGAAGAAAAGACTTGGAGTTTGAAGTTGGAGACTACGTATTTCTCAAAATCACACCCTTACGAAGTCTTACAACGGGCAAAGGAAAGAAACTTCAACCGCGGTACGTCGGACCCTACAAGATCCTTCAGAGGGTTGGAGCGGTCGCGTATCGGTTGGAACTACCGTCCAGTCTATCTCGAATCCACGACGTATTTCACGTCTCGATGCTAAAGAAGTACCATCCTGATCCATCCCATGTATTGCAACCGGAGGATATCGAAGTGGATGAATCACTGGCCTATGAAGAGAAACCAGTCGAAATACTCGATCGAAAAGTCAAAGAACTCAGAAATAAGCGGATTCCGCTAGTGAAAGTGCTGTGGAGAAACCACGGAGTTGAGTAAGCTACCTGGGAGATGGAAGAAGAAATGCGAAAGAAATACCCACACCTTTTCGGGAATTAAGGTGAGAAATTTCGAGGACGAAATTCTTTTAAGGGGGGGAGAGTGTGAGAACCCGTAAAAACCCTAATATTTTCCTAGGGTTTATTTCCCCTTAATTGAATGTTTTCTGCATTTTCTGGCTTCGAAATATTTTCTTAGTGGATTTTATGAGCAATTATAGTTTTAAGATGATTTTTCTAGCATTGGAGAAATTTTAGAAAATTAAGAATAAATATTGGACGTGGGACCCACTAGTGCGATAAGTTCGGAAAAATTCGGCCAATAAGGTTAAGTTTCGGATACTGTTAAAAGTTTATCGGGTATCAAGAGATAAGTAGTGTGTGTGAAGTGATTGATGTGAGAGAGAAAAGAATGATAAGGATGCATTTAATAGAGTGACACTTGTCACCTTCTTATTGGTTGAACTTTTAAGAAATACTATTCACAATTTTGACTTTCTTGACCAAAGGTTAAATATCTCAAAAAAAATTCACAAAATTTCCTCATTTTTCTTTCCCTTTGGCCGGCTCTCTCTCTCACTCTTGCAAGAAGGAGAACTTCTTCAATCTTCAAGTTTCTACTAGCAAATCATCTCAATCAAGCCCATAAACAAGATTTCACTCCATAAAAACTTTCCTTCTAGTGCTAGCAAGTTGTTTGGTGAACTTTGTTTGAAGGACTAAGGTGCTCCACATCTTCCTCTCTCTTGTTTCTTGGTAAGTGAAGCTTGCAACACCCTACTACACCTAATGATGCTTATTTTGTGCTTAATGGGGGCATGAGAGAAGGAATATATGATTTGTTTCTTGATTTGGTGAAGTTTTCCATTTTTTGATGATTTTTCTGGTTTAATTGGATTATGATGGTGTGGTTGTTTGTAATGATTGGCAATGGACTCTAATGGCTCTAGTGGATGTGAAATGTGGATAAATGCAACCAATTTTGGATTTGGTGTCAAATTTGAAAAGTTAGGGTTCTTGAACCCCCAATTCTGTCCGGTTTTAGATCACTGGGTTAGAGGCCGAATTAGACTTTGCTCAAAACATGAAATTTGTAGGTATTGAGGTGTTTGAGGTGCCTGTAAAATTTCAGGTCATTTGGATTAATGTAGAATGAGTTATGACGAAAATACTGTAGCTGTTCTGCTTTGGGCAGAATGCGAAAACTGCGATAGTAATTGACCATTTTGACTGGAATTGGTTTGGATTTTGGAGTTGGTGTCTTATGATGAAATGTAGCTGAGTGTCTTAGCTAACATATGCCGTTGGAATTTTGGCATTTGGACTGGTATGGACTGAGATATACCGATTACAGTTTTTTGTGTTTTGCGAACCTGTTTTAGGAATTCTGGGTTAGTATTTGGCATATTTGACCTAGTTGTGTTACGAACTGGATTGAGTGGTCTTCTACATTATTGTAGCCCTGTTTCATAGCTTCGAAACGGTGGGTCTTACACCCCCATCCGATAACCATAGAGAATTTGATGCCATTACCGCATAATGAGTGTAAAACAGTTTTCTATTTGGGGGCCAAGACTAAGGCCATTTTCTAATTTCTGGTTTGCTATTATACTCATTTATGTATATGAAACCCTATTGGGGTTGTGTTTAGCGTTGCTATATGACTCGTTATCGAGTCTCATTGTATGTGTTATATGTTCTAGGGCTTGAAGGTAGTGCACGACGGCTTGGTGATCATGGTACATGAAATACCACTTACTTGCTTGGTGAGTATACCACTCACTAAATTGTTACTATGTGGCTTTGTTAAATGTTATGTGATGCCTTGATGGCTTTCTCGAATATTGAAATTGATTAGGGTGAGGGTGTACTTGACCGCCCTCACCTCTTTTGATATTGTCACTGAATGGCTACCATTTTATTGCATTACTGAACTTGATATATTGGTTGGTGAATTCCATTTCATGGAAACTGAATTGATGTTGTTTGGACGATGTCCAACGGCCTTACTGCATTACTGAGCTCAACCCCGTTTGGTAGTCAATTGGATCGAGCCGGCGAGAGCTTGGTCGTGAAGATTGAATTGCCACGGGGACTGTACTGGGGAACCTTGTGGTAACGAGACCCTTGGTTCCGGTAAACTCGAGTATTACCAAAACTACTGAAATGGAGTGCGGGCCCGGTTGGGGTATGTTGGGTGGAAGGAAGTGGAAGTAAAGTGCGGTCTATGGTTTGGTACTTTTAACATTGACGGAGGGTCAATGAGGTTGGATCAAGATCGCAAGCGTGGAAATGGGCTCTTGAGAGCCGACCGTATCCTTTTACCGTTTTGCTTCATTGCTTATTTGAGCACTTTAAATGAAAGTTCATTCTTATATGACTTTGATTGCTTATTGGGTGGTATACCACTAGGCTTTAGCTCATTCCGTGTTATTTGTTTTCCTTACAGGCGAATGAACACTTTTGGAAAGGTTATGATAGTTGAATGCAAGTTGAGCTCATGTATATGTATTTTTGAATAGCCCCTTGAGGGTGAAAACCCTAAGTACTTTGATTCCACCAATGTTTGGTGTGTAATTGGCTACTTGGATATGTATGAACTAAATGGATACTTTGGTAGGCCGTTTGGCTTGTAAATGTTGATTTCCAATGTATATATATGTTTGGTTGGTGTTTGGATTGATTCCGGAATGACACGACTTTCAAACGGAAAAGGAAAATTTTTTCCGAGGATGAACAGTGGCGAATCCGGCCAGGAATCCGGCCAGAAACTGGCCGGATTGCCTGGGGAAAAATGGAACCCGGCCAGACAATCCGGTCGGATCTTGGCCGGATTGCCGGCCGGATTGTGATGGAAGGAAAAAAAAAAAAAGATTTTTGGGGTTTTGCTCTCGGCCCAGTATCCGGCCGAGAATCCGGCCGGAAATCCGGCCAGGTTATGGCCGGATTCTGGCGGGCATTTTACTATTCATTTCGGCTTCGATTTACGTTTTTTTTATTTTGTGATTTTGGCTTGTTTGCGCGCCATGGTATGTTCCGGAACGTTATAGATTGACGTAAACTGTACCGTTAGTCCTGGCGAGAGTTGGGCAGGCAGTCCGCTAACCTCTTTGGTTCGCCTTAGGGGAAAGTGGGGCTGTCACAGGCCAGCTTGACCCTAACCGAGCTGAACCCCCTGCGCGAGGATGCACGGTCAAAGGAGCCATGGGTGCTGTTCGTAGATGGGGCCTCCAGCAAGGAAGGAAGTGGAGCAGGTCTGTTGCTCATCTCGCCAACCGGCGAAGAGCTGACCTATACTCTCCGGTTTGACTTCCCCGCGTCTAACAATGAGGCTGAGTATGAGGCCCTATTGACGGGGTTGCGGATAGCCCACCAGATGAGTATAACCGCGATCAAAGTCCGGAGTGACTCGCAGCTCGTCGTCCTCCAAGTTCGCGGGGAATACGAGGCTAAGGAGGAGGTCATGAAGAAGTATCTGGCCAAGGTGCAGGAGGCAACAGCCTTGTTTGATGCCTTCGAGATCGAGCGGGTGCCGAGATCACAAAACAAGCATGCAGACGCCCTGTCCAAGCTGGCATCTTCCTCGTTTGCACACCTGAACAAGGAAGTCTTGGTAGATGTGGTAAAGCAGAAAAGTATCGACCAGGCTCAGGTCCTGGCTATAGACAGTTCGGTCACCTGGATGACCCCCCTCGTAAACTTCCTCAGCTCGGGTGCCCTCCCTAAGAACAAAACCGAGGCTCGCCGGATCCAGTTCAGAGCTGCCAAGTACGCCTACGCTGGAGGGACCCTCTACAGGAGGTCATACTTATCTCCCTGGCTAAAGTGCGTGACTCCCGAGGAAGGTGATTAGGTCCTGCGCTAAATCCATGAAGGGATATGTGCGGCACATGTGGGGTCCCGGGTATTGGCCAAAAAGTGCCTTCTCTTGGGCTACTATTGGCCCTCCGTCTTCCAAGATGCCGCAGAACTGGTACAGAAGTGCCGAACTTGCCAGGTGCATGCCCCCCTGCGCCACCAGCCAGCTCGGAAAATGGTCCCTATCCACAGCCCCTGGCCCTTCGCTCAATGGGGGATAGACCTTCTGGGTCCCTTCCCTCGAGCCCCGGGGAGGTATGAGCACCTCGTGGTGGCCATAGACTATTTCACGAAATGGATGGAAGCAGAGCCCCTGGTCTCTATCTCCGGGAGAGAAATTCAGAAGTTCTTCTGGAGGAATATAGTCTGCCGCTTCGGGATTCCGCATGTCTTGATCTCAGACAACGAGCGCCAATTCGCGGATAACCCCTTCAGGAGCTGGTGCGCCGAGCTCGGGATCAATTAGCACTTCACCTCGGTTGGCCATCCCCAGGCCAACGGCCAGGTGGAAAATGCCAACTGAACCATCCTCCAGGGACTGAAAACAAGATTGGAACTGGTCCAGTCTAACTGGCTGGATGAACTCCCTAGTGTCCTCTGGGCTTACCGCACTACGCCTAGGACGGCCACCCACGAGACCCCGTTCTCTCTGACTTACGGAGTAGAGGCGGTGGTACCCGCAGAGGTCGGTCTCCCTCGCCCCAGACACAGAACTTCGTAGCGTCGTCCAACGAGGAGGAGCTGCGGTGCAACTTGGACATGCTGGAGGCTAAGCGTGAGGAAGCGGCAGTACGAATGGCTAAGTACAAAAGCCAGCTCGCTCGCTATCATAACGCCAAAGTGAGGATCACACAGTACCAGCCGGGGGATCTTGTCCTAAGGAAGAACTCGGTCAGCCAAGCTCACGGCTCCAACAAGTTCGACCCAAACTGGGAGGGCCCATACAAGGTCCTTGAAGTGGGCCGAGCTGGTTACTGCAGGCTCGCGAAAATTGATGGATCGGAGGTACCCCGTACTTGGCACTTCTCTAATCTGCGACTGTTTGTAGCGTAGGTCAGACCAGGGTGTTCGGTTGTCTGTTCTTTGGAATACGAATTTCATTTTCATCATTCAATAAAGGCTCGACTTTCAAGTTCTAATTTCATTTGTACATGTTTGCCTTTTTAAGTTCGAATCTTACACTAGCACACTTAGCGTTCCCTCCCTAAATGTCCTAGTAGGGGGTTAAGGGTTAGTAATGATACTTGGTGCTCGACCCCAAGAGGTCGGCGCTGATTAAAACTTCCAGGTGAATGCTCGACCCCAGGAGGTCGACACGACTGGAAAACTTGAAGGGTTAGTAAAGGACCCAGGTGAGTGCTCGGCCCCGAGAGGTCGGCACGACGGGAAAACTTGGAGATCCAGGTGAATGCTCGACCCCAAGAGGTCGGCAAGTGCTCGGCCCCAGGAGGTCGGCACGACTGAAAAACTTTGAAGGACCCTGAAAATTCCATGCTCGGCGATGCTCGGCCCAGAGAGGTCGGCACAGGCTAAAATTTCCAGGTGAAGGCTCGACCCCAAGAGGTCGGCGAGGGTTGAAACTTGCGAGTCTGAGAGCGCGACGCTCGGCCACGAGAGGTTGGCATGGAATGGACTATTCTGGACCTGATGGGGTCTAAAGCTCGGCGCTCGACCCAGGAGGTCGGCACGACCACCTTTAAAGTCGAACGCTCGACCCAGGAGGTCGGCGGAAAAAGTCCTTAAGGTTTGGTGTTCAGCCCCAAGAGGCTGGAACGTTGCCTTGGTGGGACGGTGTGGTGCTCGACCCGGGAGGTCGGCACAGGGTTTCGACAATCTGATTCCCTCTAATGATTTAGTTGTTAGATTAACAGGGGTATATACTTGGTGCTCGACCCAGGAGGTCGGCGCATGGCTTGGGTTGCAGAAGTTGGGTGCAAGGAAAAAGTGGCAAATGGAGCGGATGGAAATCTGGTGACCCCTATTTATAAGGGGAAAAATGGGGGGAAAACGGTTGCTTGAAATCGAATCGTCCCATGTGAACGCATTTAATGCTGGTACGAAAACCGAAGAGGCGTGACAACTGAAAGGACGCGGGCGCAGCGCCCCTGTGATAGTACTGTACCAGAGGTGACCTTGGCAGAGTAGTGCGCGGCACTGGCCTCCCACGTGGCAGGGGTAGATTAGGTCTGCCTGACAGCCCTACCTAATCTAGGGGCTAGTGCAGAGGCCCTGTCCCGGGCCTGGACACGTGGCAGCCCAGGTATGGCCGAGCTGGGCCTCGGCCCCAGGCCCCTGGCAGCCGTCCTGGGCCGCGCTGATGCTAGGGCTCCTGAAGGGGCAGGGCACCATCCCGTAGAGGTCGGAGGGAATCCCCCTCATCGCGGGATAAGGGCTATGTCGGGCAAGTCCCGAAACGTACGGAGGTCGAACTCCCTTAGCAGGTATGAAAGGTAACGCACACCAAGGGAAAAAAGGTACGCTCACTATTGACCGAGGACTCTCGACTTCTTACTCCCGTGAACTAGACTCACCGGAAAACTAATTTGATCGTCGGAGCGCCCTCGGGGACAACCCTTGGGCCCCCCTTTGCTTGTTCATTCTTGTTTGTTTTGCAGGCTTGGAACCAGCTCTTCCATCAGCGCGCCGAGCTAATCAGGTCAGCTCGGTCCGGGGAAGTTCAGCGCTTCTTCAACCCGCGTACAAGGGGTTGTCAAAAGACTGGGGTCTAATCCCCAGGATCAATCCAATGGTCAAGTTAGTTTCGGAGTTATTGATGTTTTTAGGAAAGAAGAAGCAAAGAGTTGAGTAAGTATCAGATGGTCTACCTTTGATGACCTGCACCTGTATTTATAGGAATGAATAGATCATGAATGAATCCTTTGATGATTACCTCATGAGTTCCTGGTAGGGATAATCCTTTAGTGATTGTCTCATGAGTTAGAATGATCATTTAGAAATATTATTAATTTATTGGGGATAATTATGATAGTTTATTCACTTATCCATTAATAATAGGATTAGTCTTATCTACTATAGACTAGGACACAAATATAGTTCGGTTGTGTCCAACCAATGTAGTTCGGTCACGATAGTTTAGCCATGATAGCTTGGCTATGACAGTGTGTCCATGACAGCTCGGCCATAATATGCATCAGGTATTAATCTTTTCAACGTCTACACACATGTAAAATATTCAAAAATGTATTAAGAGACAGTAGAGAGGTAGCGTACTGGAGTGTAATCAATTCATGTAATTGATCTTTAGTTTATATTTTTGGGTAGGCAATCTACATTTGTTTAACCTGAATGCAAATGCAAAAGAATAATTGTTCCATTTTTTCAAGTCTTTAGATTGTCTACGAAAATTGGCCCTTAAAAAAAGTAGGACGAATGCAGTATATACTTATAATTTCTTATGCTTAACTAAAGAAATGTGCTACAATTGAACCCTTAAATTTAACATTGTTACTTATCTAACTATTAGGATCCATATTCAAGCAATTAAAACTCAGTTAAATTTTAGCAAGAAAAGCTGTAAACTGGAGTTATCATAAATATACTCTTTATAAATAAATAAAATGTAATATTTTGAAGACAAAATTTCTGCAACAGATATTTTGTCCTATTCCTAATTCCACTCTCTATTATATATTTTTATTAATATTACTATTTCTCCTTCATCAATATCATATTCTAATTCTTTTTTGTTTCATTAAGATTCAAAAGCTATTAACTGAATAATACACAATATTTAACCAACTAAAAAAATCAAAATATACAGAAAAAGAGATTTTTTATGTATCTTTATTTTGAGACTGCTATATTTATTTTTTCACTATGTTAATAGTTATTTGATAGTAAGAATACCAAAAAGAATTACACTATGATGTTTATGAAAGTAAATAGTAATATAATAAAAAAATCGAATAGAAAGTGGAATAAGAGAAGGGGCAGAAGATCAGTTCTGCAAAACTTCCCTTCATAAGCCAAATGCAATTGAGATAGAAAGAGTGTTTGCATCTCGTCTTAGCTCGTACCTTGTAGAAGCAGAAAGGTTTATCCAATTTCCTATGGCTTTTGCACCCATACGCCAGTCATTTATATCATGCTGTATGTTGATTAAGTCGATATCTATAGAGATGTACATACTAAGAGTAGTGAGGAAATTAGATTTTTCTCTTAACTATTACATGACAATGGCAGGAAGGCCCCCCCTCTGGCATCCATGGTATCAACACCAATTTCCTGATCACCTGTACTGATGCTCTAGTTTAGACGTAGGGTAAACTCAATTTCTGATTTTTCTTCTGTTTTAGATTGATTTATAGGTAATATCTTGGTTTTGTCAAGTAATCCACCAATTCCCTTCGAGACTTGAACTTGGAACGTGTAAATATGAGGTGAAACAGTTTATTTACCAAGCTAGACTTTGTGGCCGTGTAAAAGTGAATCTTTGTTTGCTTTTAATTCACCAAATTCACGATTAAGCCACCCTGCCTTATTTTTTTTGGACAGGTACAAATAAATGCAAAGATAACCCTTCTTTGATCAAGCTTTCAAACAGCCACAAGAGAACAGAAAAAAATGACCAAATACAAAATTTGAATTCTAATAGCATGACAAATGCTATAATTTCGAAAGTTACAAATATATATAAAATTCTCTTAATGTTTACTTGTATTATTTTAAATTTTAAATTTTCATAAAAGCAACTAAAATTTACAGGTAGAAATACCTAAAATATGAGATGAATTTCATTGTTGCAGTTTCCGTTTCGTGCTGTTTCCATGTTATCCAAATTTGTTTTAAAACCATTATTATATAATTGACTAACAGCGTGAGATGATTAAAAAAATATGTTCAATCGATGTCTTGCATAGTTTTTTGCGAACCATTATAATGTATTTGACGGCCAGAGAGAGATTAATAAAGATATTTAGAAATGCATCTCACATGCTCGTGAACACAGCCTATTTGGCTTGCATTGGTGGAATT